GCACATATATATCATGGTTATTATCAATGTTTTAATGTATGAATATGTCAAAACAACTTTGCTTTAGTCCCTCTAGGCAGCTGCGGACCTTGTAGTCTCCTCCCGTGACGCACAACTTCACACACACCAGTTTCCTTTACGCCATTGGCTTCAAGCTTCCTTGTCCAAGACCCAAAATTATAAATAACATTGGCTTTGCTACCAATGTTTGCTACCCCCCAACGGTAACTGCTCGGCTCCCAGCCAGTCGATATAGATTTATAAAATAACGATATTAAAGGAAATGTTTGGGGAGAAAAACATTGACAAATTGATCCGATATTTTTTAATGCATATAATTTAGAAATAAAGTCCCAATCTTGAAACATTATTTCTGTGAACGTTAAGGTAATCCCCTCGTCTCTTAGTGGGTTCCTGCTGCTGCTGCTTCTGTACTCTGGCGATTCTCGTACTCTCTTGTGAGAATCATGAGTCTCATACTCTCGGTCTTGGTATAATATTCAGTGGACCGTAGATCATACCAAGGATGATGTATGTCTTGTCTTGGCTGTATGAGGGTGTGTACATGTGTATACAACATTGATAATTTTGTAACTAGAGTCAAACATTGTTATTTGCTTAGCTAAACGAACTAGAGGGTTCAGTTCCTGAACCGATTATGTGCCTCTGTAATCCTTTACACCACCGCCCACGGGATGGGTATGGGGTGTATAATAAAGAAATTGAATAGGCGTGAGTGGCCACGGGGCAGCAGGGTCATGAGTCACACATACATGTCGCTGGGAAAGGCAGCACAACTTCTTGGCCCTTTTGGCTACGAACCTGTTTACCATTCAAACTTGGTATTTCTTGGTCAGTCCTCCTTGAACTACCCAGAGATGCCATCTTTAAATTCCCTAGCGTCCAAATCTAACGGGAGCCGGTCGGCCGAGCGGACAGCACGCTGGACTTCTGATCCTGGGTTCGGTCCCAGGCTCCGGCGAGAAACAATGGGCAGAGTTTCTTTCACCCTATGCCCCCTGTTACCTAGCAGTAAAATAGGTACCTGGGTGTTAGTCAGCTGTCACGGGCTGCTTCCTGCGGGTGGAGGCCTGGTCGAGGACCGGGCCGCGGGAACACTAAAAAGCCCCGAAATCATGTCAAGATAACCTCAAGATAACCAGCATCCTTGTGGTGAGTGCTGAGAGACGGCAGTCTACTCTGGGGAGGCTGCTCTAGTCTTCCCAATGGCAGTTTTTAGCTTGTGATTTTGTTTTAATATTTGTACCATTGTGTCGAGTATGAATACTGTATTGTATACATACTCGACATGTGTACTGTACTGTGTACATACTGGACATGTGTACTGTACTGTGTACATACTCGACATGTGTACTGTATAGTAAACATACTCAACATGTGTACTGTACAGTAAACATACTCGACATGTGTACTGTACAGTAAACATACTCGACATGTATACTATACAGTAGAGGGTTACGGGGGTTTACACTTGTGTCGCGTCACATTCTTGTCGCTGGATCCTTCCCCCAGCCCCACTCCACGTCCCGTATCCAGCAGCGACCGGGAACTTTCCTGGACCTTAGCACATGTGACTGTGCTCAGGGTCATCCCCTTACCAGCTGCTTGGGGGGTGGGACACGCATGACTAACCACCCTGTGAGAGGAGAGGGGTTTTCCTTAGCATTTTATAGCTACCTCTTGACACACAGTGTAGCCCCTTCGTATAATGTAAAGAACCTGCATAAATGCAAGTGTACATAAGTATGCCACAAAAGAAAGGGTGGCGGCGGCCAGTGAAGCGTGTGTAGCCACCCCCAGCCCCCATTATCTTCAATTACCACTCTTAAAAAAACGAAAAGCTGGTTTACCTAACCAGAAACGTTCCAACCCAAGCAACCCACCTAATCTATCGAGGCCTCCAACCCAAGACATCCTCCTAATCTATCGAGGCCGGTGCTTGCTAGACGTCAATATTTCAATGTTTTAAGTTTGTACCAATACGTGGCATTTTCGCGGATTGTTGATTCCGTAAATAGTTGCATGTATCAAGTGAGAGGACTGCGCACCATCCTCAGCCTATGTTAGGACTTGCTATAGCAACCTCTGCTTGCGTGAAATAAATATATATTTGCCCTGGAGGGCTAGTAATAAATGAGCATTAATTCATGAAATTGGTGATAAGCCGCGCATTAGCAAGTTGGGTACGAGTTGCTAATCTGTGACTTACTTAATGATATATATACTGTATATATTTACATCTCTTGGGGACGTGATGGAGCAGGTTGAATACAAACTTGTATTGTGATGTAATTACAAAAGTGTTGCAGTTTTTTTCAATGATTTGATTACATGCATGACACTGTCTAAAGAGAATTTAGCGAGCGTGTGTGCCGTGAAAAAACATACAAAAAATCCACACGTGGTGTTTGACCTGCTGGCGTGCATGCGCCGCTGGAGAAGGAACTCGCTCCGCCATTTTTGCAAGATCATAAGAACCAAACTTAAGGTATTTGTCACAAGGTCATGGAGTTCTTTCTTTCCCTCGGTGTGTAGATATTTGTAGGTCATGGTGGGAATGTGCGCGAGCGGAGGATCCGGGGGAGGGAGGGAGGCAGGTGTGGGTGAGGGGGGGGGGCAGGTGTGGGTGAGGGGGAGTGGTGATGGGGGGGTGCAGGTGGGGGGGGGGACAGGTGTGTGCGCGAGGTTGAGATGGGAGAGAGGGGGTGTTGAAGGGGCTGAGAAGCCTTGGCAGGTAAAAGCATGAATTAGTATTTACTCCTCGGCATCTTTCTCCATCTCTTCACCCTTTCACCTACCTTCCCATGCCTCCCTCCCATCTCTTCATCACCTTCCCATCCCCCTCCCTCTTTCTAAGATATAGGTAAACAAAGAGGGAGAAGGAAGAGGGATGAATGATAACAGAGGGTGTCAGTATTCTGCATTAACCTGACCAATTGTCCACAAACACACACTCATTTATCACCTCTACCGTGGGAGATTTTGTTCACGTGAGTATTCTGTGGTATAAATATTATCACTGAGGCAGTGTGGAGGTGGAGGATGTGAGAGAGAACGAAGTCATTGGACTAAAGATGAACGAATGTGAGAAATACTGGAGTTGGCGAAAGACCTGAGAGAAATATCATAGTAAAGCAGAAACAAGTAACACTTAGTGGGGCCAGCCATAGGCTTTGGGCCCGCGCAGGTATATTGCTTGTGTTGCTGTGTGTGTTGTGTGGGTGAGGGATGAGGTTTGTCTGCTTGTCACACAACACACTCGTACAAAAGAAGACACATTATGCAACCAGACAGAACATTATTTAATTTAAATAATAAAGGTTAGTGGGGTTTGCTGGTTGAGAGAGGGAGGGAGGGAGCGTGACCAGGAAGGGGTAGCCAACTGTTAGTCACCTATTGTGTGCAGATGCGTGGCGCCCACAAAGATGGAGCTTTGTCTGGAGCGTGTATGGGTGGAAAGCAGAGGTACATGTAGCGGGAGGCATGGAAGTGGTTGGAGTGGGGGACGTTGGAGGTCGTACATGTAATGGTGTGAGGGACACTTGACTGGGGAAGTGAGAGACGGGATACAGATGATCGATTTCTAGGGAGGGAGTGAGACAGATGTAGATTATAAAAACTGCAGGTATCGAATATGAGGAAGAGGACGTTCTGCAGTGAAGGAGTCATTCGCAAGTATTAACAAATGAGGCAAGCGTGTGCGAAAGGGGAAGAGGGGTGGAGTACTGGCGGAAATAGTAAGTACTGGTGTAGTGGGTGTGGGAAGGGGCGGCGGCTAAATGACTGGCTGGATTCACTACCTGTTCCCCTATGCGGCCACAGCAAATTGGGGACGAACCAGTTACAATACATTTTTGAATAACGGATTGTATAACTGCGGAGTGGATTGAATGGATGATTTAGTGATCTTTGGACCATCCGCAAGAGGACGCATGCTGTAGTTCGGTTGCGAATTAGGAGTCGGTCAGTTCTGGTGTATAATTTCAAGAGATGCATGCGAACAAGCCTGAATGGTCCCCAGGACTATATGAAACTGAAAACTACATTATGGTGAAATACATTATGGTGGTAGCGTGTTATTACTAACTCTGTGTCACATAGTTGTCATCTCCGAGCCAGATGTCAACTCTGTGTCACATAGTTGTCATCTCCGAGCCAGATGTCTCCATGTACATGTGTAGTTTAGGCTACATCATCACAGATGGATTTCCAAACATGTAACTCCACAAAATGTTACCCCTCAATATACCGAGAGCTCAATACAAAGGACGTAAGTGACTTTAGGGAGTCAATTCTTTATTCCAACACCAAGTTCACAGCTTATCTCCTGTGTGGGTGAGGACGTGTGTACGGGTGGTAGGTGTTGAGGATAGAGAACACCTCGTTGGTATCGCCTCGGGAGAATCTGGTTTCAAATGTGTACAGTTATTCAGCACACAAGTCTTGCATAAGGATTGTGTCCACGTAACGAGTTTCTTTCACGTGTATTATTTTACGATTTAGGAATTTTATAAAAAGTCTGCTATAATTTATAATTCCTTGTATATCATCATGCATTTTTAGTGAAGAAAATTGGAAAATTTTGTTACCTACCTGCTGATGCAATTAAATGTAATTTGTCAGTTTAATCAGAAATAGACTGCCTACTCATTAGTACTTTATTTTATTGTAGCCTTAAACATAATTATAAATTTGTTTCATACTCTCATTTGGTTACCTTGTACATTCATCTTTGTCAGAAATTTACTTCCAGTGTATCATTATTCTGTTACATTCATTCATTCATTCATTCTATCTTCACATGTTATCTCATTTATTCTTGTACCTTATTTTCAATTTTCATTCTGGTTTTACTCTTTTGAATAACTTATTTGTCATGTCTTTTTTCATTCAGGTGCTACTGTCGGTTATATTTTCAACTATCTCATTGTTCAGTACTTAGTTTTTGTATGCATTTCTAACTTCCTTTCCATTTACAGGATATGGCCAACACCAAACTCTTCGGGAAGGACCTGAGTCAGTATGAGGATGTGGACATCGATGACCTTTTGGAGCAGCTCTCGCCGGAGGAGCTGGAGATGCTGGCGGGAGAGGCTGATCCTGATGTAAGTGTGGGTTTTTTCATTGGTATTGCATTCTGGTTGGTGTTCGTCGCTGTAAGTTGAGGTTACCGGTAAGCCATGTTGGCTCTACCCAGCAACTGGATGGTTGACCACGTGTGCATAACACTGATAATGGCTAAAGAGGACGACCACGACAAGTTCAATGGTTTGGATATAATTTTAGTTAAATTTGAAGGGACGAAGCCAAAGAGTTTCATTTCCAAGTAAGACTGGCTAAACCTGTCCATCAACACGCCCACTATTCCCTCCCTCCCTCCCCCCCCCCACTCTGGCCACCACCATCACCCCTTCACACTACCACCATACTTGGCCAGTTCCCCTCCCCATTGTTCCACCCCCCCACCCAGAACCCCCAACACCCATCCCACAAGCTCATGCCACCTACACAATTGCTACGCCAGGCTCCACCATATAAGCATATCCAACCATCACCGTATGAACCCGGAGAGGCGGGTAATTGTATTTTTTCAAAATAGTTAATATATGTATCATGAGGTAGTTAGGTTTTTCATTTAATAAAAACAATAATTTGTCTCCAAGACAGAGATGTGACTGCGAACAAGTCGTAAATAAACATTTAACCAATGCATCTTCTTATAGAAGCTGCGTCTGTGAAACATAAAATATATTGAAGTTCCAGCAATGAACTCATTTTCTTCAGGGATCATAACATCTATTGTACTGTTTTGAGATATGCCTGGCATAGGGTCCAGTAAAATATGAATGGCAAGACAGTATTTATGGTATCTTGGGTATAAAGCATTTAATTGTCTAGTCATGTGTGCATTTAAGACATTCACTATTAATGTGGAAATTCAAAAGTATTACATAGTACAAATTGGGTATCAAATTATGCACAGTACTATATCACCAAGAGTACCTGCTTCCTAAGGCTTTACAGATGAGGAATGTCTTAATATGTCCTCTGTATGGAAATGTGAAATTCATTGTAAATAAATATCTATACAGTAAAGGTAATTCAGATTAAGATGCCATTTGTTGCCTCTTGGTCTTCTCTGTTTGATTTGGCTTACCTAATAGTTATACAGGTATATTTTATATCATCTAGAAGCAGGAATTCACTCATATTAGGCAAGCAATGGGATTATTTATTCCTTTTACAGTATTACAGTATTTACAATACTGTATAGCATTTAGATTTTAATGGAAATCTCTTCTACCTCATACATCTTCCTTGTCGAGTTTGAAGTCAATGTGTGGCCTTGTCATTTTCTGCTTGATAATCACTACATTATATAGAGCAAGGAATATAGGCATATAATATTTAAAGGGCTGGCTATACTTCAAGTGTGGTACTGGGCAGGAAATGTACATTCACATTTTAGTGTTCATTACAGTATTAGGTTAGAGCTAATACAGTAGCTGTACTGGTTTAGTGCTTTCTTTTGATAATTTCTTGAGTTTATTATTGTACAGTATGGCTATCCTAAAATACATTTTTATACAAAAATATTGTGAAATTGGGGTATCTTTCAGATGAATTAGCCCAGTATGCCTAATAATTTTATTTAATTAGCATCTGTGCCTACTTAGATGAAGTATGCCTTTCAATTACTATAGCCCTAATTTGTGAAATATTGGCAGGCTAGAAATACACACAGTATAACATCGAGGAAACTCATAATGTGCAACATATTTTTAAACCAGAGACAGTGCAGAAAATAATGTATTACATTGAACATTTTGACAATACTTAAATCAGTGTGTGAGAGAGCTTGAAGAGTGGCATCTTGTCCGAAAAAACTATTGCCGACAGACTTTTGGAAGTGTAAGAGGACATAGCACAGTAAAATTGGTTCAGCTCAATCTGTATTTATTATTTACCTTCAATAACCTGTCAGTACTGGAGTAAATAATGACTACTGATGAGAGTAACATAAATTAAGTCCAAATACTGTATTCTAAAATGGGAGAAAAACCCACCTACCGTAAATCTGAGTGGTAACGTAAGTTACACTCGCTAACATTGCTACACTCCAGACAATCTAAGTAAAGACAATGTGCATTGAGTTGACAGACCACCAGCAATATGGATCTAACCGTATGGAATGATATATAAAAGTTTAGTGCACTGTACAAATATATCAGGGCATGTGGAGCTATATCTTCAAATACTGTGCTCATAGACAGAATCTGTAAATTTCAAGAAACCTGTTCAAATTAATGAGACACGTGCCTAATGTAAAAATAACTTTCGGAAATATCTGGAAGGAACCCTATTTTTATTCACTTTACTTTTAAGTTTGATGTATGCGTGTGTTGGCTTTAAAGGAATTTTCTATTACAGTAATGCAATGTGCCCCCCCCCTCCCTCCCCCCCCCACACACACACACACACACCTCCTTCATGCAAAATGAGGCCTACCTCTACTGGTATTCAGTTGCTGTTGTTACTTAATTTTGAATCTGATTTCTCAAGCATCTTGTTTGGGCTGTTGTTACTTTATTTTGAATCTGATTTCTCAAGCATCTTGTTTGGCTGTTAGGTACTGATCTATATAATTTTTATTTACAGGATACCTTAGTCCCACCTAGTGAACGTAACAGCTACAAATGTGAAAAGGGAGCTACAGGACCTCTAAACCGCAAGCACCTCATAGACCACATAAACGATCAAGCTATCAATGAACCAGACCGGCCAGATCTTGTCCCATACGTTGCGGGAACTGTTAGAGGCAAGAAGGTAAGCATTGGGTGAAGTTTTGTATACAGTATATCTAGAGGTTCCAGTAAAAGCTTAAGCTAATGAAAATCATAATTTACTTAATTTGCGAATATCAGCTCTGGCTTGAACAGCTGTTCTGTTTAGCTCTCACAAGTCAAGTCTGGCCCCAGACCAGGCTTGGAGAGTAGATCAACTCCCAGAACCCCATCCAGATACAATCCAGGTATGCTGTACTGCATCTACAGTACTATATTCTGTACATGTGTTTATTGAAAACCCTGTTGATTACTTAAGCTATGTTTTATATAAATAAAGTGGTCTTATCACTTGCCACATTAGCTGAAACTTTTCAAATAACATTGAGAAAAATGAGGTAAACAATCTCTAAATAGCGAGGTGGGCGCCTCAAACACCTCCCACCCTCTGGTGGGTGAATGTGGATATCCTCTGTTGCGGTGGAGGTGCAGGGGCGCTACACATGAAAATGTGCAAGAAAAATTTTACTCAAACATCCACTCATAATAATTAAACATACAGTACTTGCAAACACTAGTCAACAAAACATTTAAATTAATGTTAACAAAATTCAGGATACTGATATTTTAACTAAAAAGAAAACATTTAGCTTAATACTTACACATTACTAGTACAGTAGTTGTACAGTACAACTCTAATTGCCTACATATAAGATCTCGACATTTCATTTACATATTTTCTCCCCAAACTATGATACATTGTAATAAATAGTGTTTATTTCAATGTACTTATTTTTTTTTTTTACGATAGGCTTGCCTTTGTGATATGACGGGAGTGTAAGGGTGTGAGCACTATTACCCGCAGGCCAGAGCATAGGTTGACCTATCCTAAAATACCTGGTTGGCCATCAGTTTGGGCCTCCAGAACCTTCCAGAGAATTCAGTAGAGTTCCAGGTTGACAGGCTTTTGTCCTATCGTGGCCGAATGGGTCAAGACAGGAGTCCGGGAATCACCAGAATACCGGTTCAAGTCACCTCATTGCCCAAAAAATATTTTCTCGTTGATATATCATGCCATTGTGATTTCTTTGTGACAGCCATCATCTGAAAGAGAGATAATGTATCTCTGAGACGAGTCTCAGAACTGATAGACTGCACTGGTGGGTCAATTAGCAAATTATTATCCCCCCCCCCCTAATATTTGCATATTTTTAATTTTATTTGTACATCTATTAATAATAAAAAAAACTGCTCTTTGTCAACACAGTGGATTCCTCCACCACCTCCAGAACCACAGGAAGATGAAGATGCTGTTGCCCAAGAAGTAGAAGTGGATCTTGATGAAGAGTTTGCATCTGTTCTGAACACAGCCACTGAAGATGAGATTGTTGACTTGGCTGGTTAGTGATATGGCATTTGTAAATTTTGTATGAATTATAACTCCAAGTATGAGGCTTTCATTTCATTAAATAGTAAAGTTATGTGAACACGTGCATGTGTTTAATTACTTGTTTGTTCTTTGTAGGAAATGAACTGTGTTCAGTGTTCATCTTATTGTCTCTCTTCATTTTTATTGTAATTTTTTGTATTCTTTAATGCTACTTGTGTGTTAAGGTGTATTCATGTGCATATTTGATGTGACATTGGTGCACATTATCTAGTTCTTGGCCCCCCAATCTCATAGTGCATTTGTTGATGTGCTCATCACTTGGTCACAAAGCTAAAAAGCAGTAGGTTTGGCCAGTAACTGATTGGGTTACTGTGTGGACAGCCTCATCCTTGGCTATGGGGAATCTTGATACCTAAGAGGCTTCCTTTTCCCAACAATGATACACAATATATTGTACCATACAGTATTTATAACCCCTCCCCCCCATCATTCTAATATTCTGGAATACCGTACTTGCTGTTAAAGCTATAAGTGGAGGTGGCTTCCATGT